GAGGAGGAGGAGGAGGAGAGGAGGAGGAGGAGGAGGAGGAGAGGGAGGAGGAGGAGGAGGAGGAGGAGGAGGGTCAGTGCGTCCCCGACTGGGGAGGTGGCTGACCAGGGGCCAGGTCAAGGGGGGTAGGCCCAGGGGGGACGTTCGGGTTTGAGGCTCGAGGTGTTCGGACGTTTTCGTAGGCTCTCGGCGGCTTTCCAGCCTCGGGATGCGTTCCAGCAGCTGCGCCTCGCGCAGCGCGTTCCGAGGGTGCCCAGATCGCCCCGTACGGCCGTTGGAGGCCCGAGTTATGGCCCGAGATCCACGGTGCACGGGGATAGGCTCGGGGGGGGGGGTGCATCGACCCCCAATCACCCATTGATCGCCGATAGGGGGGGCCCGGTAAGCCCACCCCGCCCAGGACTGCGCGGGTTCGCTGTCTGGGGCCCATCGCCGATGCATCGGCGATACATAGTGCGGATTCCATCTCGATTTTTTACCCCCTGAGTCGGTCGCGCTTCCCTTGGTCGAAGAAACATCCACGCAAGCATAAAGTTTCGGGGGCCCGCGCCAGATTTCCTGAGTCGGCGCTGGCCGTGTTGTCGGAGGCAACCCAGGGGGGGCATTACATGTGTTCGCCGGGGAGCCTCGCCGAAGGCATGGACCATTGACGAGCTTGGATACATGTATTGTGCCCTCCTGGGCTATTCACCCCCTGCGGCGGCGGCGCGCGTCGTGGAACGCAGACTGTCCCCTGGAAGGAGAGAGGGGGGGGGGTTCGAGGGGGAGGCGGAGGAGGAGGAGGAGGAGGAGGAGGAGGAGGAGGAGGAGGAGGAGGAGGAGGGGGAGGGGGAGGAGGAGGATAGAGAGGAGGGACAGGAGGGAGTTGCTCCTCCAGGATCTCCTTTCTGTACTGAGTTAGAGCATTTCTCCGCCCGGGCAGCCGGGCCCGACCTCAGCGCTGACCTTGGACCAGACCATTGATCAGAGCTTTGCCCAGACCTCGGACCAGACCTGAGCCCAGACTTCTTAGACCAAGTCTTGCGCAACAGGCCTCAGAACAGACCCTTAACCAGAGCTTCGACCAGAGCTTCTGGACCAGACCATGGACCAGACCGTATCATAACTTACCTTGGGCCAGGCCTTAGACCAGCTCTTAGGCCAGACCTTCGACCAAACCTTAAAAGGAACTCTTGGACCATGCCCTAGCCCAGACCTGAGACCAGACGTCAAATCAGACCGGAGAGCAATCCTCTGAGCAGACCTCGGACCAGACCTCAAACCGAAACTCGGGTAGACTTCAGAGCAGACCTTGGACCAGACTCAGACCCTACCTACGGCTAGATCTAATATTGGAGATCTTGGACCGCACCTTACACCAAATCTGCAACCATTCTCGGCATCATTATCTTGGCACAAACCGTAGACCATATACTGGGCCAGACCTCTGGCCGCAGCTTATTTGAGCGCTTAGAACAGATCTTTTACCACATCTGATACCAGCCCGTAGACCAGAACTCAGACTAGGTCTGGGATCTGATCATGGACCATATCATTAGCCAGACCTTTGTCCATACCTCAGACCAGAACCTGGAGCAGACCATTGGCCCATACCTTAGAGTGGGCCTTGGAAGAGACATTGGACCGGATTATGGGACAGACCTCATACAACGACCTTGCATAAGGCCTTCGACCAGACTGTAGACAAGACCTCAGACCACACCTTTGACCAGACCTTCGGCCAGACTTCAGACCAGACCTCATAACATACCTGAGAGCACGCCATACACAAGATTTTGGACCACATTTTGAGCATCTCATCTTAGACCAGATTTTGGAAGAGATTTCGGCCCAGACCCTAAATCAGGCTTCAGACCACAGTGAACAAGACATCATATCATACCAGAGGACAAACCTTCGATCAAAGTTTGGACCAGACCTTAAACACCTTAGAGAGAAGACCGTCAACCAGACCGTGGACCAGACCTTACACCAGACATTGGATCAGACCGTAGACCAGATCCTGGACATAATCATAGTCCAGACCTCAGACCAGACAGCATGACAGATCTTCGATACATCATTCGACGAGACCAGAGAGCAGACCCGACCTTGTACCAGACCTCAGACCAGACCTTGACCAGACGACCTTACGCCAGACCCGAGGCCAGACCTTCGATCAGCCCTTAGACCAGATCGTAGAACCCTCACTCCGGTTCTTAGACTAGACTGATACCAGACCGTAGATAGAGCTTAGACCATAATTTCCACTAGATTATGGACCATGGATCAGACTGTAGACCATTATTTCTGGTGCGGAGAACGGGTCCCCCTCCTCTTCCTCCTCCCTCCTCCTCCTCCTCCTCCTCCTGCGCTCTCTGTTGTTGCTTCTCTTTTTTCGCAACACCAGCTTTCAGGTGACCGCATGCAGAGCGTTGTCTCGGGACTTCGACCCAGAAAGGGTCCAAGATTTTCTGGGAGCCCTCGTGTTCTGTTCCCCCCGCCCTTGATAGTAGGTTTG